CTCTGGCTCAAATTTTCGTGGTTTCCTTCAGTCCCTCCACACAAATACTGGGACACTCACTCGCTCACTCACTCACTCACTCACTCACTCACGGAGCTGAGCCATTCTTGAGAAGCAGCCAATTGTGCAGCTACTGATAAACTTCCCAGCATTTTATGAAACAGAAAATTCATTACCGTGTTCACAAGAGCACTCTACTTGTCCCTATCCTGAGCCAGATCAATTCAATCCATAACATCCCAGTCCATCCTATCTTTCTAAGATCCATTTTAATATTATCCACCCACCTATGTCTTGGTCTTCCCAGTGGTCTCTTTCCTTCTCATTTTCCCACCAATATCCTATATGCATTCCTCTTCTCCCCCTTCGTGTTACATGCCCTGCAAATCTCTCACTACTTGACTTGGCCAAGAGTACTGGGTCAGTATCTCGATTAAGCCACGACCACTTTACAGTCTTTTCTAATTCATCTTCCACCAATCAACCTTCCATTTAACGCTGCACAGGGGCTGACCCACACGCAAGTACAGACCTATACTCCACGTGCTGTAGCAACGAGGCAACGTCATAGCCAGAGATGTAAACAGTTACGTCATTCTTAGAAAGTCATTACGTCATATTTTCAAAACACTTTCGGTGTTCATACCACAGTGGGAAATTTAAAAGTGTTTATAACGTTGCGTACACATAGTATAACGCACTTCTCGTGTGCGTCCTGCAGTAACGCAGTGTTGTCATTTTTAAGTTCCCTCAACGTAGCAGTTGATTCGCTTGAAAGTAGAACACCCTCGTACATAGACTCTCGACTCTCGAGTTACTTTGAAGCCAGTGGCGCTGGGGCAGGTTTTCTCCGAGTACTTCGGTTTCCCCTGCCAATCTTCATTCCACCAACTGCTCTACAATCACCCTCACCTATCATCTGGGTCCAGAAGTGGCCGCAGTACAACGGACGTAGTACCAGCCCACTAGCAATAAGAAACAAATACTTTGAAGCTTGTCTCAAACGAGAAAGAGAGACGGGCAGAAATAAGCTTTGTGTAAATTCCACTGGGGGGAAGAGTTGGAAACTTAAGAGTATTAACCAACATAGCAACTACTGAATTCGGGGGGGGGGGTCTAAACTCCCTTATAAATTCTCGGAAAACACTGCATTTTGAAGATGACTCAAATCTTCGTTCACTCATGCACAACACGAAATGATTTATCAACACAAAGTAAAGTTGTCCCTGTACTTAAGTAATTAAGCACTAAGTCATGAAGGCGTATGGGAGAGTGAATGTATAGGCCCATTAGTTGTAGGTGAGTGGTCAGAGTCATTCCCTGGCCGCTTTACCCCCAAGGAAAGAGCCCCCGATACCCGTTCGGTGGACCTCGGAGCCGGTCTGGACGACGTGGAGAAGAGAAAATTCTTGACTCTGCTGGGGCTCGAACTCCGACCCCTTGGTTGTCCAGCCAGCAGCCAGTCGCTATACAGACTGAGCTATTCTTGCTCTTATCTACACACATTTTATAAATTAATTTCTTTAACAGAGTAACAGAGTAAAACACTGCTTTCTTGTAGGTTGCTTAATGACGTTGCCAACTTTAGCGGATAGAGGATGTCGCGTGGTCAGCGCAACAAATCCCCACGGCCTTTAATTTCGGTTTTCTAGACCGGAGCCGCTATTTCCTTGAAATAGCTCCTCAATTATCCTTACGAGGCTGAGTGGACTCCGTTCCAGACCCACTACTTCTCAGAAAATCTAGTAGCGTCGGGAATCGAACTTGGGCCTCTGGATCTGCAGCCAAGAACTAGACAACAGATGACTTCGCCGACAAATGGCGGTCGCTCGGTCGGTATAGTTCGCTTGCGGACTAAAACCGCGGAGTTTGTTTTATTTTTTGTCTAATGACGTTTTCACTATCCAGACTAAATAGCGTCCGAAAGTACGACTGATGGATTGCAAAGTGGTCGTAGCTTCAAGGTGGTAATATCTACACATTTCCTTATTGGAACTGTAGAAACCTTGTCAGCGCTTGTCACATTCGGTGGCAGGGCCGCGATTCCAACCAGTGACCTCTCGAATGCAATCCTACTGCAGAACGGAGGTAACCTTCTGAAGCATTCGCTTCTTCATTTAAAAATTCAGTTCTTAAAACCACGGGCGCCGGGTGCGGGTGGTGGCAGACATCTGCCCCTTCTGAATTTAAAAAACTGAAGAATATATACCACATTAACTCTAACAATTACAATTATATAATAACAAAATTATTTCTATCCTTAATAACAGCCGGATTAGCTTAGTATAAGGATGGGCGAAGCACTGAAAGGCAGGGATTCGATTCCCGGTGGGGGGGGGCGAAATATTTTTCTTTATTCGACAGTGTCCGGACTGGCTCTGGGGCCCGCTCAGCCTCCTATCAGTTGAGTACCGGGGACTGATCGGAAAGGGGTGTTAAGCTTACAACCTAACCCCCAACTAGAGCCGAGGCCAAGAATGGTGGACCCATCCTTCCATTCCCTCCATGCGTCTTCATGGCGTGGCGCTTAAAGCCCAGGGAAAATTTAAACTTTATTTCTATTCTTATTACTCCAGCGGTCAGCAAATATATTCTTACACATCTTCAAGGAAAGATTGCAAGCAAACGTTCTGCCTGTCCCCCCTTTAAAGGTAAGGTAAAGTTGTCCCTGTGCTTAATTAATTAAGGCGTATGGGGCAGTGGGTGTATAGATCCACATTTTCTTGTCCTCGGCACTAGATGGAGGTGGGTGGTCAGCTTCAAGCCCCGGCCGCTTTAACCCCGGGGAAAGGGCACCTGGTACCCATTGGATAGGAGGTTGGGTAGACCCCAGAGACAGTCTGTACGACGTGGAGAACATTCTTGACCCTACCGAGATTCGAATTCCGACCCCTTGGAGTCCCGTAGCAAGTCGCTATCCCGGCTCCCTGACTGTCCCCCTTTGGAAAAAGAAATCCTGGCTTAAGGACATAACCACCGCTCTAGCAGCCGCACGAAACAATAGACATACTGTGCGCAATGCTCGGCATGGCCTGTGTTAGAGGGACATAACCACCGCTCTAGCAGCCGCACGAAACAATAGACATACTGTGCGCAATGCTCGGCATGGCCGGTTACACGTAGTGACCACCGTGATGTGGTTTCCGACACCACCTAAGGAGTCAGAACCTTGTTTACAGATATCGCAAGAGTTTTTATATGGTTCTTAAGTATCTCTTTCAGGCAACACAAAAGGTACAAGTGCTGGATTTTTCTCTCATTGATCCTAAAGACATCAACCGCTTTAATCACAGAGGTCTCCCCCATCAGTTTTCTGCAAGATTCATATTAATGTTATCTACGTCTACTGGTCTATTTCCTTCCTTTCTTCCATGAGTTTTACATGCCTCGCCCATCTCATCCAATATATTATTATTTAAAGTTTTCAAGTTGTCCCTCTGCTTAATTAAGCACTATGCAACGAAGTCGTATGGGGGGAGTGATGTCTGGGTCCACGTATTCTTGACCTCGGCATTAGTTAGAGGTGAGTGGCCGGATTCACGCCCTGGCAGCTTTACCCATCTGATAGGAAGTTGGGTAGGCCCCATAGTCGGTCAGGAGACGTGGAGAACAGAAAATTCTTGACCTTACCGAGACTTGAACTCCAACGCCTCGATCGTCCAGCCCGTAGCCAGTCGCTATCCCGGGTCCATATAATTATTATTATTGGGTAGTAATGCTCGAGAAGGGGGCCCCACCATAGCTCAAGCGGTTAGTCGCTGGCTTCCCATAGCGGTGGACCGGGTTCAATCCCGGGTCTGGTCAAGTGGGATTTGTGGTGGACAAAGTGGCGTTGGGGCAGGTTTTCTCCGTGTACTTCGGTTTCCCCTGCCAATCTTAATTCCACCAATTGCTCCACAATCACCCTCACCTATCGTCTGGGGCTGGTACAATAGGCCACAAGTGGCCGCAGTACAAGGGACTTAGTCCCACCCCACTAGCAATAAAGAAAATGCTTGAGAAGATCATGCTTTACTGAACTGCTTTGTAAGCGTAGCCAAATTTGTTCAAAATAAACATTTGCCTAAGATAACCGCCTACAGTGAACAATGTTTTATAACGTACTATATTACTTCCAACTCTCTCCGAGAACCCCAACCCTGTTGGAAATACTTCTTCATTAAGCGTAAGAATTTCTCCTACAGTCTCAACTTCCAGCAACAGATGTGTGCAAATGTACCCGGCTTACAGCATATCGGAACGACATCCATGGGCCTCAGTATCGGAGAAGCTACCAGTATCTCAGCTACTCAAGAACTTCCCAGCATTTTATGGAACCCGAAGATTCATTACCGTGTTCACAAAAGCCCTCCATTGATCCCTATCATAAGCCAGATCAACCCAATCCACACCGCCCTATCCTGTCTCCCTTAAGATCCAGTTCAATATTATCCTCCCACCTACGTCTTGGTCTTCATAGTAGTCTCTTCCCTTCTGGCTTTCCCACCAATATCCTATATGTATTCATCTTCTTCCCATTCGTGCTACATGCCCTGTCCATCTCATCCTCCTTCACTTGATCATTCTAATTATACTTGGAGAAGAGTACAAGTTCTGAAGCTCCTCATTATGCAGTTTCCTCCAACCTCCCGTGACTTCATCTCTCTTCGGTCCAGATATCCTCAGCACCCTCAGTCTGTGTTTCTCCCTTAATATCAGAGAAAAAGTTTCACACCCATATAGAAAAAAACAACTTATATCAGACTTAATAACAACTAAACAAAAACATGTGTTCTTCGTAATCTAATGCAGTTGTTTATCTCACGCTACGGAAGCCGGCCTCTTTGATTCTCAGCATGTTCAAGGGATCTCAGACATCTGCGAAACAAAACGTTAAAGGCACGTAAAGATAATTATGATTCTAGCTGTTGAGAATGAAGCTGTGAGATGACGTCTATACTGTCAGGAGATGCAGTAGCAACGTGCCATTATACTAAAAATAAAAGTGACATGACACCTACCTCTTAAAGAACGTTGTGTGGTGATTAGCGAGTCTCTTCCGTAGATTTAACCTTCGATACACTGACAGTACTATAACCAAACGGTCTGCTTCTTCTATGCTGTTCCTTTGCTCCGTATATTGCGCTGGAATCAGATTCAGTTTCACAATTCCTTATAAAGTATCTTCGCAAAAATCAATAAAATAACAGCACTTTACGTTGCAGATCAATTAAACACTTTTATGTTACTTGTAAAAAAGACACGAACATAAAATTTGTAAATAGCAGTAGAAGAGGCGTTGTCTCACTGCCTTCACAACACTCCAGGTCTCACAAACAAATCAACAGTACAAACTGTTAACAATGTATAAACCGAAATATGAAGTACGTTTTTAAAATTGTAGATCGAAATTTTCACTCCAGGACCAGCGATAACCGTTCGCAAGGAAACAAGTGTACTAATAAGCCTAATGCAAAGGTGAGGACTTCTCTCAGCAACCTACACTAGTGAAATGGGCGGGAGAACAAGGAAAGCAATGTAACAGGCAACGCACTTGGCTATGTTAGAAGAATGGTGGTGAAAGTGATACACGCTTTGTCTTAAGCGAAAACGAACGGCAGACACACGAAATAAAAAGCAGCAGCTTACAACCCTAACCTGATACGAGCACCGCCATGCAGCAACTGAATAACGAAATGTGCAGCCGCAGACTAAAAAGATTGACCAAAGTAGGGGGACGGAGGGAGGGAATGCTAGAGGTACACAGCAAACTACTCCGCTACAACCTTGGAGTTAAAAGAGTCAACGCACAGCAGGGGTTTGTGCGAACTATAGGTACAGCACAATTCAATAGACCTCTTAAGAATATAAAGAGAAAAAAAAAACTTCTATAACGCTCAATAGGTGTACAGCGCCTATCGGAAAGAATGGTTATATTTTAAATAACAGTGGCAATTGTTCATAGACTTTGGTTCTTATGATCCCCGTATGATTTCAGTTAGTATTAATTTTACGTTTTAAAACCCGAACGGAGGCTCACAGTACAAGTCAAACCCCCCGTTTGCCCAAATCCTCGGTCAAAATTTGATGCACAATACTTTTCGGTATTCCCAAAAGCTCCTCGATGAGTCTTGCAGAAACACATCTGTCTGATGCAAGGATTTCAGTCACTTTTTTTACATTTTCTTCAGTGCGACTTGTTCTCGGCTTTGATGCACGTGGAGCGTCTTCAATGTCCTCCCTGCCGTCACGAAAGACAGCATACAATCGAAAAATATTCGAGCGACTCAAACAATCACTACCGTAAACACTTTTCATCACTTCGTACGCTTCTCCGGCTGTTTTGCCTAACTTCAAACAAAATTTGATATTGGCTCTCTGTTCAACCGCCATTTTCCGACGAGCGTCAGAACAGTACTGTTATATTCAAGGTCAGAACACATGATGCAGCGATGTTTGCGTTTTGAAATTATAGACAGCCACAGCTGAAACTTCAAGAATCTTAACGCCACAGCTCGCCAACAGCTGGCATTGCAGGGGAAATAAAAAAAAAAGAGTCCTTACGGATCCTGGACACACCGTGTATTTGTGGGAAAACCAGAAGGAAAGAGAGCGCTAGGAAGAAGAAGACGTAGGTGGGTGGATAATATGAAAATGGATCTTAGAGAGAGGGGATGGGATGTTATGGGCTGGATCGATCTGGCTCAGGATAGGCACTAGTGGAGGGATCTTGTGAAAATGGTAATGAACACTTGGTTCAAATGAATTGCTGGGAAATTCTTGAGTAGCTGTACAATTGGCGGCTTCTCAAGAAGGACTGAATTCCATGAAATTAGGTCTGTTGAAAATGACCAGGTCTAAGATCACGGAGGGTGAAGATCACAAGTTAAAATATATGAAATAAGCTTATAATCTGGCACGGTGATCATGTAAATGGCAGTAGAAATGATGAAAGAGGCGCTGTCTGTTTTTTGGTTTCCTGTGCTTTCTGTGTATGCAGGATACGTGGATGTATACATATAACTTATTAAGCACTTTATTTAAATTGAAGTAAAGTGTTCTCCTCCGATAAGACATCATGTTCACACATCACAGTTCAACAGAACTTATAAGAACACTAAGAAACAATAGGATTGTGAAAAAATAATACGTTGTTTTGGACTCAAAGTTAAAAAACTGAGATGCGATGGAAAACTCCTCCGTTCTAATTTGGTGTTGACATATCTGAATCGACGTATGAAGTTACTACTATGTATGTCCGTCGATCACAATTACTTTAATACGTAGTAGTTGTATATGTAAGGGATGAACCATAAAATCCGGCCCTTGAAGTGCGACCTTCAATGATCTATTGTACTTCCCCTTTAGATTAACACTTTATTAATCCTACACTTTGAATGAAATGTAGGACTTTATTTATGGGGCATCATAAAAGTCACTTGGTTCCATGAAGAACTGACCCAGGTGGTGATATCTTCAGTAAGCTATAGCCTCACAATCACATAAGATGTGTGTGGCTGATTCATCTTCTTGTAGGCACCTTTCACAGGTTGGGTCATCTGTCAGTCCCAGTTTGAAAAGGTGCCCTTTTAGGTGGCAGTGTCCAGTAAGTAATCCTACCACCCATCTGCGTTGATCTCTGTTTAATTTTAACAGGTCCCTCCTTCTTTTGGCAGAGGGTCCTGATATAAATCCTTTTGCCTGCTTGGGTCCAATTGTGAATTCCCAGTGTTTTTTTTATGTGATTTCTGTTAGTCCAGTTCCTGATCGCTTTCTTGACAACTCCAATTGAGATGCCACAAGCTGGTTCAGGTCCTATGAACGGCTGTTCAGATCCTGTTCTTGCCAGTTGGTCTTCGGTTTCATTCCCAGCAATATTCTCCTACTGAGATGCCGCAAGCTGGTTCAGGTCCTGTGAACGGCTGTTCAGATCCTGTTCTTGCCGGCTGATCTGCGGTTTCATTCCCAACAATACTCTCCTACTGAGATGCCGCAAGCTGGTTCAGGTCCTATGAATGGCTGTTCAGATCCTGTTCTTGCCAGCTGATCTGCGGTTGCACTCCCAGTAATACTCTCCTACTGAGATTCAGAAAGCTGGTTCAGGTCCTATGAACGGTTGTTCAGATCCTGTTCTTGCCGGCTGATCTGCGGTTGCACTCCCAACAATACTCTCCTACTGAGATTCCGTAAGCTGGTTCAGGTCCTGTTCTTGCCATCTGATCTGAGGTTTCATTCCCAGCAATACCCTCATGGCCTGGCACCCATATCAGCTGAACTCTGTTATGTCTGGCCAGTTGTGTGATGGATTGGTGGCAGTCCCAGACCAATTTTGAAGTGATTTGGTGTGTACCAAGTGCTTTAATTGCAGCTTGATTCTCTGATAGAATGTAGATATTTCTATTTTTGTAGTTTCTATCTAAATTCTCAACAACGCATGCCTTAGTGGCATACACTATTTTAATACGTAAGTGAAAGATTCAAACTGTCTATAAAATCAGTTTATTAAGATGTTAAGGTAAAGGTAAAATTATCCCTGTAACAGGCCATTCAAGCCCATAGTGTTGTGAAACGTCGAGGCTCCTACATTTTCTAGAAATTCGGCTCATAGATGACGGTGACGTTGCCAGTCTTAGGCGCCGGCCGCCCTTTAAACCCCCCGCCCCCGGAAGATTCCTGGTACTCATTTCTGTTAGAGGCTGAGTTTAACCCAGGGCCATAGTGCGGCTGGAAGGGTTAGGTCAATTGAAAATTCCAATGACCTCATCGGGACATCTAAAGCGCCACTTTCCCACTTGTAGCATAGTGCTCCCTTATTAAAGACGTTATTTTCCTACATGTTCCGGCCATTTACGACCATCATCAGGTGTTTATAATCAACAAAATTGAGCCACTTTCATTACTGAGCTGCGGGACGTAATGGATCCATTGCTAAATAGTGTTGTCTTGTAGAAACCTGTAGCAAAATGGCAACTTAATAAACTGTTTTATTGACAGTCTGAGTCTAGCAATTATTTATTAGAAGCGTAACATTTCTGTGGCCGAATAACAAATGTACACAGTAGTGACATACACAGCAGGATGGGAAACGTACGAAGTGAAATATGAAGTTAAAATTCTGTAGTTTGCTGTAGCAGCGCCGACTCGTGTTATAACTTTAAATTAACAAATATCATTGCCGTCACAGGTAAATGGACAATACTGGGCTGCGCAACCATTTACAATGTTACACAACCACGGAATAACAATTCTGCACGTCATTCCATATCTTTTGGGGTTTTCCCCGTTTCGATTTTTACTTTCTTTACATTTTCGCGGCCTTGATGCAAGAGTGGACAAATATTTTTACCCTGGAGACGAATATGACATTTCGTTGTGACTGCGGTCTGGAAGGCCTTGTGGAACAAAACTTGAACCATTAGCCATCCTTCAGAAGAGAACGGACATAGCTCAGTTGGTATACTGACGGGATATGACATGGACTACCATGGTTCGATTCCCGGTAGAGAAAAGAGTTTTCTGTATTCTCTACAGTGTCCGGAGCCGCCCGAAGGCCCACTCAAGCTTCTATCAAATGGGTATCGGGGGTAAAGCTGCCGGAACGTGAAGCTGACCTAGTGCTGAGGTGAAAAATGGTAGAATTATGCCTCCGCTCCCCCATGCGTCTTCATGACTTTATGTTTAATTCATTAAACTGTCACTCTATGGATCTACAGTCCATTGTTTGACCTTGGACGATTTTTCAGTTTTTAATGTTTTTACGTAGTCAGTATGACTTCTTGGACGGGACATCAGCGCGTTGCAAGGCCGCTACCTACAGAACAACACAAACACAGAATGAACACACACAGACATCCATGCCATAAGTGGGATTCAAAACCACGATCCCAGTGTTAGAGGAAGCGAAGATATTTCATGCCTTAGATCGAGCGGCCATTGTGATCAGCAATTAATTAAACGCATGAACATATTTTCCGCTTACCTTACATACTGCAGGAAGTATAGGAGTTATCAAATTGTGTGCTGAGTAGCTTATACAGGCTGATCCTTCAAAAGAGAACTCAATATTAGGAATGTTAATAAGGTCAAGTATAAAAGGATTAGGGTCATTTTGGTGGAACATTTCTAATACTGAGTTCCCGTTTAAAGGATCACAATGAAGACAGTCCTGTATTAAAAGACAAAATAACACTAATTAATGAAATATTTAACCCTTTGGAGATATGTTCTTCTTGAGAAAACTAGTAGTTGATCAAGTAATCAGATATGTTTTACTGCAGCATCCTGCCTCACGTCACTTATTTTCACTTTCACACATGCAAACTTCTGTTAAAATATTAAAATTCATGTTTTTCTTTAACTTTAAAATTATTTTTCCCATCATTTGTGGACTACATAGTTCGACCTAGTCGTATATGTTCATCATCAGGTGCTTAAAAAATTAAAGAGGCACTATGCTACAAGCAGGATGGTCGCAGGTTCGGATGGAGTACATTGTTATTTCTAATGGTATGGTTGGATGTGTACTTACTTATTGTGCTGGGTGATTCCTGTTACGTGTCGTATGAATTATAACAGTTGCACACCACACGTAAGGGAAATAACCCAGCACTACAAACGCAAAAAGACACGTGAGAGCATAAAGGAGCTTATGCTTTGGAATTGTATTCATTGACAGAGGGGCAACAATTTTCAAAAACAA